CAGTGCAGGCTGCATTCGCTGCACGGGGCCCCGGTGCAGCCACCCGTGCTCAGTGCAGGCTGCATTCGCTGCACGGGGCCCCGGTGCAGCCACCCGTGCTCGGTGCAGGCTGCATTCAGTGCATGGGGCCCCGGTGCAGCCACCCGTGCTCGGTGCAGGCTGCATTCGCTGCATGGGGCCCCAGTGCAGCCACCCGTGCTCGGTGCAGGCTGCATTCGCTGCACGGGGCCGCGGCCGGCCGGGCGCTACCCCGCACACCGCAGGACGTGAACCGGCCTCGGCGCAATAAACGGTGCGGCGGCTGCGGGGCTCCACGTGCCGTCTGTCCCTGTGCTCGGGGCCGCTCCGCGGTCCCCTCTGGGGCTGCCCCCATGGGGGCCACCGTCCTGGCCCCCCTCGCACCCTCCACCCCCGTCCTGTGGCCACCAAGGGCTGGGAGGAGGCTCCTGCCCCCCGGCAGCCCCCAGGTGTGGGGCGGAGGGCCCCGGCAGCGGGGTCTGCGGTGACACCGGGGGTGACACCGGCTGGGGTGCCCCAAGGGCCCTGTCCGGCCCCGCGAGGCGCCGGGGGGACACGGGGACCCTGCCCCGGCCCTGGCAGCTCCGTGCGTGTGCTCCAGCATCGCCGCGCGCATGCGGCGCATGGCGGGGTGCGCGCAGCGCGTGCACGCTTGTGTGCGCAGGCGTGTGCACGCGTGTGCACCGGTGCACGGCCGTGCCGTGTCTGCACACGTGTGCGCATGCACCCGTGCACGCTGGGCACCCACGGTCCATGCCCGGCGGCCCCGGCCCCGGCTCTGCACCAAGGACCCGGCCCCGGCAGCGAGCGGGATTGTGGAGCCCGGCCGGGCTGCAGCTGCAGCAGGGCTGCCCGGCACGGCCTGTCCCGCTGCGGCTGCGCCCCGGCTGCACCCACGGTGCCCAGCGCTGCGCCCAGCGCTGCGCCCAGCACTGTGCCATGGTGCCCTCCTCAATGGCATGGCCTGTCCCACTGCAGCTGCACCCATTGCTGCGCCCATCGTGTCCAATGCTGCGCCCGTGGTGCCCTCCTCACCGGCATGACCTGTCCCGCTGCGTCTGCGCCAAACCTGCACCCATGGTGCCCATCACTGCGCCCAGCACTGTGCCATGGTGCCCTCCTCACCAGCATGGCCTGTCCTGCTGCAGCTGCGCCCAGTCTGCACCCATCGTGCCCATTGCTGCACCCCTGGTGCCCTCCTCACCAGCATGGCCTGTCCTGCTGCAGCTGCACCCATTGCTGTGCCCATCGCGTCCAATGCTGCGCCCGTGGTGCCCCCCTCACCGGCATGGCCTGTCCTGCTGCAGCTGCGCCCAATCTGCACCCATCGTGCCCATTGCTGCACCCCTGGTGCCCCCCTCACCGGCATGGCCTGTCCCGCTGCGTCTGCGCCAAACCTGCACCCATGGTGCCCATCACTGCGCCCATCGCTGTGCCATGGTGCCCTCCTCACCGGCATGGCCTGTCCCACTGCAGCTGCGCCCATTGCTGTGCCCATCGTGTCCAATGCTGCACCCGTGGTGCCCTCCTCACCGGCATGACCTGTCCCGCTGTGACTGCGCCCAATCTGCGCCCATCGTGCCCATTGCTGCACCCCTGGTGCCCTCCTCACCGGCATGGCCTGTCCTGCTGCAGCTGCGCCCATAGTGCCCATCGCTGTGCCCATCACTGTGCCCATGGTGCCCTCCTCAACAGCACAGCTTGCCCTGCTGTGTCTGCACCCATCACTGCACCCGTCATGCCTATTGCTGCGCCCATGGTGCCCTCATTGCTGGCACGGCCTGTCCCACTGCAGCTGCACCCATTGCTGCACCCATGGTGCCCTCCTTGCCAGCCCTGTCCCGCTGCAGCTGCACCCATGGCTGCACCCATTGCTGCGCCCATGGTGCCCTCATTGCTGGCACAGCCTGTCCTGCTGCAGCTGCAGCCGTGGTTCCCTCCTCGCTGTCCCCGCAGCTCCGCAGCTGCTCGCTCCTCATCCCGGCGCTGCTGGCTCTGCGCGGGGCTGCGGCTGCACCTGCTGCACCATGCACTGCTGCAATGGACCAGCCAGGCTGCACCTGCTGCACCGCGCGCTGCTGCACTGGACCAGCCAGGCTGCACCTGCTGCACCGCGCGCTGCTGCAACGGACCAGCCAGGCTGCACCTGCTGCACCATGCACTGCTGCAGCGGACCAGCC